TTAAAGTACTAATGAATATTCTATGTAAGCCAAGGTAGTGTTGAATCATCAAGAAATTTTTCTAAATCATGGACTTAGAGGTTGAGTCTGCTAATATCCGTCCCAATTCCCGTTTCCAGTAACTTTTAGCATATGCACATACTAGTGTAATGCATTTGATCACATTCAGAAAATTCCAACTTGCAGAAAAAATTGGATTTCACGTTGAAAGTTGTTGGTGGAGATATATCAGCAATCCCCGGCTTAGCCGATGCAATTGAGGTTTGAACTCGCATTGTCCATTACCTATATCGGATACCAGTGTGCAGCTTTGCATAGTTGTATATGTACTTTGTTTCCTCATCTTCGCCAAATAAGAGGGAAGTTAAAAAGTACCGGGAGTAACTAACTGTCACCATCATGAAAAAACTTTTTGTAGCAAATGATTTATCAAGAAAATTATATAAGCTTAGCAGAAAAGCAAAAGAAGACCTAAATAGTAATTTGGTATTTATCGATGCATGAACAAATAATTAGTCTATCAAATTACTGCAGGGGTCAATTCGGGATGCTGTTGAAGATTCTATTACATGGCCTGTGAGAAAAGTTGTACCCATCCTGCCTGGAGATTACAGGTAGTCAAATACTTGGAGAAGGCAATCGTACTGTTAATCATTGCACATAATTAATCTTTCTATTGTTGCCAGCCTTTAACTAATTGAAACTGTTGGTCTTCGTGGGTAGAGAGAAATAATGTACTACCTCCGGTCCTAATTATAAGACCCAGTTGACTTATTTGAGGAGATTAAGGAAGTAAGTTAAGTTAGTTATTTGTAATAAATAAGTGTTGTCATTCCTAAAATATCCTTGCTAATTAAGTGTATTGGCTAGAATTATCATTATTAGAAGGACTATGTTGAAAAAAATGCATAAATATGAGAGACAAAATGGATTGGGGTCTTATAATTAGGACCAAACAAAAAGTCAAATGGGGTCTTATATTAAGGACCGGAGGTAGTACATTAGAATTTTCATAAAATTCTAATTATTACTGCATTGTATCTGGTCCCGACAATTACACGACCTGTCAATTAGGCAGCTATGTCAGTTAAGGTGATTGTACACAGGATTACCTTTTTTTTTTTTAAAAAAAAAAAGGCCCTAGTGGCAATGAACACTCGCCTAAGTGGGAGATTGCGGATTTTATTCACTCACCCCCCCCCCGGGGTATTTAAAAAAAAAAATTGGTCGCTTTGTCGTGAGATTCAGTAATTATGGTCCCTGCCAATTAAATCATAGATTCACAATATAAAACACTGTTTTTCTTGCTCAGTGATCTGGAGTTGAAGCCTGTGGGCATATTAGAAGTCAAGCTTGTGCAGGCTAAGGAGTTAACAAACAAAGACATTATTGGTAAATCAGACCCCTATGCTGTGCTGTATGTACGACCTTTGCGTGACAGAATGAAAACTAGCAAGACAATTGTAAGTCAATGTACTGCCCCCCCCCCCCCAATTTATTCTCAATTCAGAAAGAAATAACATTACTATTTTTTCCGTCCAGAACAATGATCTGAATCCAATTTGGAATGAACACTTCGAATTTATTGTCGAAGATGAATCTACTCAGCACCTGGTGGTTAAAGTTTATGATTCTGAGGGCTTAATGGCATCTGAATTGATTGGTTGTGCGCACATACGGCTCAGTGAACTTGAGCCTGGTAAAGTAAAAGATGTGTGGTTGAAGCTGGTCAAGGATTTGGAGGTCCAAAGAGATAACAAAAACAGGGGTTCGGTAAGTAATCGTGTCCCACTTGGTTAAACAATGATAATTAGGGGCCTCTTTTCTTAGGAGACAGTCCAGATTTTTCTGTAAATTTTGGATCCAGTTACTTCTTTTCTTTTCCCCGATAAATATAACCCGTCCCAAGAGCCCCGTATATTGAGGTGTATACATATGATAGTACAAGTATTAAAACAACAACAATCATATGAAAATGTATACATGTTTACCCACGTCAAAAGTGTCGGACTCTGGGTTTAAGCGATAATGTTTGACATAAGTTATACACAAAGATGACTTCCCTTAAAGTATAGTTGCCTTAAAGGTTTCAAGTTTTTGTGGTCAATATGAATTTGTAATCATGTCTTTTCTTTGTCCCTAGGTATATTTATCATTTTATCTCTATAGATATAGATATATTTGACAGAATGAAATATATTTTCTTTTCAAATAATTGTTTCTCTTTGTGCTTAGGTACATTTGGAGCTTTTATACTATCCTTTTGGCATGGAGACTGTGTTTACCAACCCTTTTGTTCGCAATGATCCATTGACATCCTTAGAAAAGATTCTTAAAAGTTTAGCAAATGGAATAGAATGTACTGGAAACGGAAATGAAGTTACACAGAAGAAAAGGGACGTTATAATCAGAGGAGTCCTTTCTGTTACGGTGATATCTGGTGAAGACTTGCCTGCGGCAGATTTTACGGGGAAATCTGATCCTTATGCTGTTCTCATCATGAAGAAATCAGAAACAAAATGCAGAACCAGGGTAAGCAGCAAAACTAGTACTCCTTTACTGTGATAGACCAAAAACCTAGACTAGCATCTATTATGTTATTGTATTGAAAATCCTTAAGATGAGCCTGTAAATAGGACATGTGATCAATCTTTGTCTTCTTTCTTTAATCTTTTTGCCTCCTTTTATCCTGGGGTGTGTTAGAGGAATCCAGGAGTTCATCCGCTTTTGTCCATGTTCGATCCTCTTTCCACTTCCTGTTGCCTAAGTAGTTATTCCCAAGATATTATGAATTTACTGACCTTGGAAGCTGTTAAAATTTTCAGGTTGTGAATAACACCTTAAATCCAGTTTGGAATCAGACTTTTGACTTTGTTGTTGAGGATGGATTACATGATATGCTAATGGTTGAAATTTGGGACCATGATACATTTGGAAAGGTAAAAAAAAAAAAGATCATGCATCATATAGTTTGTTACAAAATTTAGTTGATCAGGTACTGAAATTTAAGAGATTCTTGAGCAAACTTCATCATTTGCAAATGACAAGTAGACCGAGGAAATATAAAAAGACGTGTCTATGCCATTTATTAACGAGTCTTCATTTCCGGTCTGATGCAAAAGAAATTTTCACGGGAGACTTGTAGCAGTGAGCGATATTAGGTGCTAGATTAAAACTTTTGGCTGGGTACAAGCATCCTAAGTTGTAGATTGCGAAGTTCTGATACAGTCGGAAAGGAGAGAAGCACAATGGATATGTGAATAGAGTTCGCTTCTTTTCCCGCCCTACCCCCCTTTCTTTTCTTTTTTTTCCTCCCCGTTTTTCTCCAAATTCGTAAGAACTATAATACTAAAAGATCCAGAGTCTGGTTGATTTCTAACGGGACTAAGTTCTGAGATTTCACTGACAGATTTGCCCGTGAATGATGCAGGATTATCTGGGAAGATGCATATTGACCCTTACGAGGGTCATATTGGAAGGGGAATACGAAGAATGTTATGAGCTGGATGGGGCTAAATCTGGATCTTTGAGAATGTTTCTCAAGTGGTTGCCCCAGCCGATTTATAGGGCTGATTCCTGAGTGTTCCTTGCCAAACCTTCACAATATCCGCACCCCTCGATTTATACAAATTTTGCTCTCTGTTATTTGTGAGAAAATCGAGCTAGTGATGTACATAATTGTTTCATTCGATTAGAATTCGAAACCACCTCTTTTCTAGCCGCTCGTATTTCTCATTTGCTGGCTCACTGCTTTCTTTCCCGCCCGTCAAGCTCTCGGTAGAAGCGTTAATTATCTTTTTGCTAAGGTTTTATATGGACGTGCAGAAAGGGACAGCAAGATAAAGGAAAGGGCGGAGAAAAAGGTGAAGAAAAACAGTGTAATTCTTGAAAATGTGGTAAGCTGTTGCTCTTTTGGATTTCTGTTTGCAGTCTTAAATATTTCTTACAAAATAATATTCTAAACTTGTTGAGACGAAAGATAAATGATTAGATAATTTCATAGATTGCTAATATATAGAGCGGGAATTGTTTAGTATTGATATATATTTTGATCATTTGAAATTTTGAACATCCAATTATTTGTAGGTCGTGACTAGTTTTTTGGTATAAAAAAAAATTTGTAGGTCGTCAATCTTGTCATGCACATAAGGTAAAAAGATATTACACATAAATTCAGTAATAATTGTCGTGCATATTTGGAAATCTATTGGGCATGTTTTGTTTTGTTTTTTTTTGTTTTTTTTTTCGCCAGCCAGTTGGACATGTTTTGACTAAGGCAATATAAGCAGCCTGAATTAACTTTTTTAACAAGTTAGGGCATGTTTAGTTTTGCATTTGCTAAAACTGTAGTTTGAATATAGTTGTCTTGGCAAAAGGTTTTTAGCCTTGGATAAAACTGAGTTTATGAAAAATAAGATTGACTAAGAAGTATTCGGGTAAAATCAAAACTATGGTTTTAAAAATACTTTTATGGTATACAAAATAAATATATAAAAGATTTTGTTTTGATTTACAGAAAAATACTTATGAAAAGTGTTTTTAAGGTTATCCAAACACCCCCTAAAAACAGACACATGTCAGCTTCTTTACTAACAATAATTTCAGACTTAAAACATGATATGGGGGAAAAAGGGAAAGTATTGTGAGATTTCAAGGAAGAAGTATAATTAATAAAAAAATTCCTTTACGCATCATGAATCTTGTTATCATGAAATTTGTCATTCACTTATTATGAAACTCTTTGATAATTACATTCTTTACTAAAGACTCCATAGTAATTTCCCCAGGATAAAAAAAAAAAGCCGCAGGTCAATTTTCTTAAAAAAATTAATTATTTCAATTAGATTCTGCCACTTGTATTATTTTTTCCATATGCATTTAACCCCAAATGCCAATATAGGCAAAATAGAACACACGGCAGAATCTGGTTGGAGCAATGCCAATATAGATAATGATTCGATTCTAAGGAACCAGACTTGAACACTACTGCTAAACAAGGATTACAAAAGCGTTATATTTTGAAATGCGGGCAAAATCAGTTCCTCAAGAAAAACCATAATTTACAAACACAATATGATGGCGCAGGTTATGACTTACAAAAAAGAGAAGCCACTTAATAAGAAAATTATTACCATCATAAATTAGATCTTATTCTCCTCTCTTCCTCAACTCCAAATTTTCTACTCAGCAATTTCCCAAGGATAAAAGGAATGTTCCTTCTCTCCAAAATCCAGACATGAACACGGATAACTATTAGTTCTTAACGTGTGGAATACAAGGCATGCATTTAGGCTAAGACAACAAATCATTTTCGAAAACGAGCATTACGAACAACGGGAAACTGAAAGCCACGCATCTTGGAAAAGACAACATTTTGTTCATTCCACAACGTCACCTGAGAGAAAGATTTAGGCTCCTATAAATCGGAGGCAAGCCTTCCAAGAACACTGCTTACAAAATACTTCTTCAGTTTTCTTCTCCTCCTATTCTTTCCCCTGCGTTCCCAGAAATTCAACCATGCAGCAGTTATCCTTAGCATGACCGCACATAAATGCAGATTAAGAAGAAATAAAACAAAACCACAATCTGATTGTTCCAAACACAATTATTCCAACATATTGGGTGTTCTACAAAAATAAAATAAGATAAGATAAAATAAAAAAATGCATTGATTGGATGCGAGTGCAAATTCTACACAATGGGACCATTTCGTGAGATACAGAAAACATTCTAAGCTGTTGAGTTTATGAATATCTTGTCCACCAAATTAATCTATGAGCTAATTAACGAGGATCCGGTAGCAAAGGAATATGTCAAGTTTTAACTTAAGGGATAATTAATGCGTCCAGAAAGCAATGCCGGACTTTTAGCTTGCTACTCTGATCACCAAAGCACAAAAAAGGTGAAGTGAACTACCAATATTGATTATGCAGTATGAAAGAGTCAGTTGGCACTTTCTTGCCATCGTCATTACGATTCCAGTGGTACATAGCATGAGTCCTGTTCATTATCTCCAGAGTTGAGTGTCCAAAGCTGGCCTCCCGAAAGGCAGAATATTCTGGTTGTGGTTCTAAAAATCTGCACAACCAATGAAACATTTTAAGCATAGACATGCTATATCCAACAAGGATTTCACTTATGAAGAACTGTATAGAGACATACTACCTCCGACCCTTAATATAAGAACGAGTTGACTAATTTGAGTAGATTAAAAAAATTAGTTAAGTTAGTTATTTGTAATAAATAGATATTAACTTTCCTAAAATATCCTTGCTAATCAAGTATATTAGTTAGAACTACAATTATCACAAGGATTACCTTAAAAAAAAAAAAAGATAAATATGAGAGACAAAGTAGACTGGGATCTTATATTTAGGACCAAAATAAAAGTCTAAGGAGTTCTTATATTAAAGACTGATGGTAGTATATTATATGTTCATCAACTCCTAAGTAAAAATGCTACCAACTTCCAGAATAAAGTAGCTCAAATTACCTTGCAGCAAGACCTTCTTGATTTCCTCCATCTCCGACAGTTATGTACACAGGAGCTGCTTTGTCAGGTATAGGGTAGCGGTTGCCGCTTGTAATGTTGTAGTTGATATTGGAGAAGCGGTACTGAAAACAAGATAGATGCATTCAACACATGAGAAGAAATATATTGTGCAGAAAACAAGTAGCCACGACAGCAAACCAAGGCTATGTGGGAATTTTCCTTGTCAACCTCGCGTCATTGTGACTAAAGCACCAAACAGGATAGTTTCCCTAACTAATAATTCTAAAGCAACATGCAACTCTTTGCTACTTCAAGAACAGAGAAAAGAACAAGGTCAACAAACAAGGTTGAGAACCATACTGATCTTTCATAAGCATGGACATGGCCAGCAAAAACCACATCAACTTTGTAATGAATGAACCAGCTCTCAAATACTGCTCGCATGCTTTCACCCTCCATATAGTGAGCTTCATTACTGTTGTATAGTGGAACATGCATCAGAACAATGAGCCAAGGGGTCTTATCCCTATCAACCCTCTTCAATTCTTCATTGAGCCACACATACTGGGGTGTGTACTTTACTGCCGGCAAATATCAGTAATTTATCATATTAACCATCGAGAAAGCTGTTTCCACATTTCAAAGAATACACTACAAAATTTGGCAAAGGGAGAATGTCCAGTTGTTACCAAAGGGAGAATAGCTGGATAGCACAATGATATGAGCAGATGCACGCCTAATAGAATACCAGAGAGGGCTGCTGCTTTTGGAAGCCAGATAAGGAGTAGTATATCTGTGAAGATAGGATTTGAAAGGAACAACCTCCCCCTGACCACGAAGATTCAGTTAAAAGCAACATAGAGCCAATTTATATCTCACAAATGCAGCGTTGGGTAGATCAACTACCTTATCACAATGTTCAGGCTGATTTTTCAACACATTTTTAGGGAACAACTAAAACATGGACATAATGGAACACGATAGTTAGATAGAATTAACAGTTGTCCATGTCATACTTATTATAGATGAGCTTTGTGGAGAAACAAAAGTTTATTCCTAGCAAATTTTCCTGGGGGCAGTGATTTTAGGATAATGCCAGAGAAGGAATAAATCCAGTGAAGAAGTAATTCAGAACATCCCTCCCCAGCCCCCACCCTTGAAAAAGCCCCCTAATTCCTAATTAAGAAGAGGAAAATTGAAATCATTATTTATTTGCTTATTGGTCCAGAAAATAGTAAAACTCTCATTTCTAAGTGATTTTAGTGCAGATTACAGACAAGAATATTGAATGCACGTCCAGTCTTAAATTCATATTATAGTATTATACCATGTCGGGCATGTACTCAATTTCATGATTTCCAGCAGACCAAATCCATGGCTGATATGCTGCACTCCTTTCAACGAACCGACCCCATGTATCCCATCGTGTACCAACATCATTATATTTATACCTATCCGCATAAGAAAGGTCTCCAACAAATAGGACAGTCTTTGCTCCACTCTTCATGTAGTGGTCAAGGGTGGAAAAAGAGTTATAAGTTTGGCCCAAATCACCTGCAACATTCATGAAATAATCATTTATGAAAATCAAAGTTTCAAGTAAAGGGGGGAAAAAAACTAAAAATGGAATCCCAAAAATACTTTATGAATTAGCTGTTGAATGATTCTGCAATGATATATGGATGGCAGTGAAAAAATAACCAAATTTTTTGGTAAAAAAAGAAGAAGACATAACCAAAAATAATATTGAAAGTCAGGATATATTAAAACATTTCCCATTATAATAGTAGAACACGCGTCAAAAATGTATCACATACCTATGATCCCAAATTTGTAAGGAGCATCTCGGTCAACTTGGGGAGGTGTTTCAAACCAAAATTCTCGAGAAGAATCACCACTTCCTATTCTGTAGTAGTATTTAGTGTTATACTGAAAAGAGCAAGCCATGAGATTAGCGAAGCAAACATGCTCCTAAATCACACAGTGGGATAATAAAAATTAGTCTAGGAAAGATGAAAAAATGTGCTCATAACAACAATTACCTCAAGGCCTTCAATAAGACAATGATGAATGTAGCCAGACTTATATTGGTAGAAGGTATAGTTTGTCACCGTCCCTTCTGCACTAAACTGATATTTATTGTCTGATTTCCCATATTGTACTTTGCTGGGCCCTGGTTCATCCGGTGTGACCCATGAGATGATTACAGCTTTTCCATCATAATCACCTTGAGTGATGTGCACCTAAGAAGGGAATATTCAGCATATAAAAGTCACCACAAGTTAAAATTCATTAATATTATATCACTGTTAGAACAGAAGGAAACACTATCATCTAGTCATGGTCAATTAAGCCACTTTTTACAGTTCAACATTTCATATAGATATTCCTAAGAATTCTAGTGTTTCTCATGTACTCTGTGCACCAGTTGCATCAATACTTCCTGTTGTGCATATTTCTCTCTTCAAAAGGATCTTTTATTGTTAATGGGAACTTAAATCTTGCCATTCAGAAAACCTGAGAGGTTCTCTGATGAGCTAGTGAATATAGCATGTTACTAATATTTTTGCTTAGACAAAGTCCAGTGACTCAAAACCTCAACACATGACTGTTATTGATACAGAGACATGGAATCCTCATTTGAATCTCATTACACAACATGGCGCGTTAATAAGAGATGTGGCAGTTTTTGTTTTACAAGACTTACTTGTTGAGGTGCATTATGACCCTTTGGAACTGCAAATACTTCGTTATCAAGAGGGATATCAACAGATGGCCACTCTGATCGTATGAAACTGCTAGTGGTTCCGGCATTTCCATCTTTGATCGCGCTCAGAAAGAGCAAGGTTGCAAGAACAAAATTAAGCAACAAAGTTTGCATCCTGATTTCCCGATCCAGAGACATGATTGTCAATCAACCGCCCGAGAAGCCTAATTACCTGCATTCAAGAATATTAAAATTATGTCATTCTGCAATATACGGGATGAGAAGTGAAGTTGTCAGGCTTTAAGTTGAAGTTCTATTTTAGAAAATGAAACTGCCAAATTTCATCTCAATTGTTTACTCAATATTCTTTGAGGAGAAAAGATTCAAAACTAAATCTCACAGCATACGCGTTTTGCATGAAAGCAGGAATAAAAGATAATAATCAAACGCTAAAACCAGCTATTTGATAAACAAGCGAGTTGGCATCAAAACTGATCTAGTTGAAGGTTTAAAATAGTCAGAGAGACAGATCCTCTTCCAGCAGGACGTTGTGTATCAAGCGAATGCATATAATTGTCTTCTTTACAGAACTAGCTCTTTTAAACACTCTCTGCCAGAAGAAACTTCAAACCACTAAAAAAATTGTTAGCGCTCAATTATCCATAAGCAAGAGTTTCAACAGTTCGTGATCTGAATCTGAACGATGAACGCCATCGACATTCACACTAATGGAAACTTAGTTCCCTGAGTTTAAAACCTACATTTCTGTTCTAGATACAAGTACAAATAAAGATCAAACAATCATAAATTTATAGGAATGGAATCAGTAGTTAATCATATGAAGCATCAAGAACTATTTCAGTTTAATAATCATAATCTTCTTAAAATAAATATCTCAGAAATCCGAGAGAGAGGAAGAGAGGGAGAAGCTCGCCTTGAAGCATTAGCCGAGGAGAGAGGGGTGAGAGATGAGGAAGAGAGGGAGACGACGGAGAAGGTGTTGAGGAGGCTTGTGCTGGGAGCGAAGCGAAGCCTCCCGTTAGCGTAAATACTATGTGAGAGTGATATAGCGCCCGCAGGATACCGGAATGGCATGTACACGTGGCAGTATGGTGGTGGTATGGACAATTTCATCCACTGGCTTGGTCAGTCGCGTTGCTTGACGTCTCATCAAGCATGGGTGTTTATTGTTTTTGCCTACATTTTATTTTTAACAAATTTTTTTTTTTTTTTTGAGCAAAATATTTTTAACAAATTTCTTTTCCGATTTCATTTGTTAAAATAATCACATTTTCCTCACTTTTTGTTACATCACCTTTAAAAACTCCTAACCTTTTTCATCAGTACCTATGTAACAAATCGGTAGTATTTATTGTTGGCAAAAAATGGATAGTATTAATGGATAAATATAAATTTTATGATAAGTATAGACGTTATAACATACTTGTTCTTAATATAAAATCTCATTTAATTTTTATTTTGATTCTAAATATAAAATTTTAATTCATTTTGTTTTTTGTATTTATATTTTTTTTTCAACGTTGTCCTTCTAATAATGATAATTCTAACCATATATTTGATTAGCAAATATATTTTAAAAAGATAACATATATTTATGACAAATAATTAACATAACTTATTTTTTTAATCTATTCAAATTAGTCTACTAATCTTTATATTTAAGACCAGTAATTCACTACTTATCTTATTTATCAATCCCACTTTTCATCAGTTTTATCACGGGGACTAGGGTAAACATAATGGTTCCTTGCTTTTTCCTTTTTCTTTTGTGTGTGTGTGTGTTTTTTTTTTTTTTTGCCAACACATAATGGTTCCTTGCTTTTTCCTTTTTCTTGTGTGTGTGTGTGCGTGTTTTTTTTTTTGCCAACACATAATGGTTCCTTGCTAAATAAAGCAGGACAGCTTTTGCTTTCCCAAACACCAAAACTATGATAAATCATTTATGAATAATAACGACAATGAGAATGAAAACTAAATAAATGAAAATGAAAATTCGTTTATATGTTTGACGATATGAGACACAAAGCTAGGTGGACTTTTAATATGAACTATCTTATCCGAAATAATTAATACTATCTCCAACTTAGATAATCTAAATAGATTAAAAAGATTAATTAAATTAATTACTCCTTCAGTCCTTAATATAGGATCTAATATTAAGTTAATTTTTATTTTAAATATAAGACACATTTTTCATGTTTATCATTTCAAAGAGTATTTGTTAAAAATGTGTTAGTTCTCTAAAATACTCTTTAAAATAATTTCTATTAAAACTACTCCTAAAATCTTGATACAAATTTCATCACCATATATAAACAATATGGATAGTTTGGACAGAAAATAATAGAACAGAGTGAATTAAGATTTTATATTTATATTACCAATTATAAGATATCGTTTGTACAAATAAGGTACTATAATTAAGATCGGAGGTAGTATTAAATTTATTTTTTAACTAGTTGTTTTATTAGAGACTCTCATCCGATCCATAATATAAGAAGTTGGTTAAACAAATTTTTTATCCAAAATATAAAAGGTTGATAAGATAATTACTTTAAACCCTTGTTACAAAAAAAAAAAAGAGTTTTAAATGTAGGAAAGATTAGAGAGAAATTTTTCAATCATACTACCTCTGATCCTAATTATAAGATCTTGTTTATAAACTATAAATGAGGTTTTATAATTAGAACCATATGTAGTATTTTTTAATAACAGTGAAATAGGTAACGTCTATCAATTTAAAACAAATTTAATGGCTTAACTAATTTTTTTAGCTTGTCAGAAAACTTAATTAATTTATTATATTATCATGGATGGGAGAGGGTACATCAAATATGCATCAATGTTTATCTTCTTGTGATTCATTTGGAGTAATTTATAAATGGTTTTTCAATTATAATTTATAAAATATAAGATAAATATAAAAAAAACAAAAGTTTTATTTCGATTTTTGCCACATCAGATTCTAGTTTGGGGTCTTAGAAGATGAGTCTTGAAACTGATTGGTCCTCACCCTTGAGAATCGATTTGAAAGATGAAATGCCTTCTTTCAGAAGTACATGTTATCACCCAAAGCACGATAAGGCGTGAACCCGTACATATGAAAACAAACAAACACGTTCATTAAAAAATTAAAAAAGAATGCTGCCCCAAAAAAAAAAAAAAAAAAAGAAGAAAACTATGGATGATACGCATATCACGGGTGTAAAATACGTGGGTGAAATTTAAATGATTCCAAGATTAATTATCTTTATTCTTTTAAATTGAAGACCCGTCATATTAAGCAAAAATAGGGTTTTTTTTACTCAGATATGATGAACAATAAAAAAAATTTACTCAGATACGATAAGATCAAAACTATTTACCAAAATACTACACCTGAAATCATTCAGACCGTAAACGACTTTAAATTTGTACATAACTTGTTTTTAGTCCGAACAATTTTAGTGGGACCCACATCAGAAAATGAAAGTTGCAACTTCAGTGAGACCCACATCACGAAATGAAAATTGTTCTTAGTTTGAACAATTTTAGTGGGACCCACGATCTATGTTTGTCTTATGCTCCAGGTGAAATTACTTCCTTCCATACCTTTTCAATTTTCATTTGACCAGACCATACTTTTGTTTTTTTCCTGTCACACACAAAGTCACCCAGGAAGTAGTCTTTCATTGTTTGAAGCTCAACTCACGCATAAGGATTTCTTCCCTACATATTCCCATCAGTATAGGACTCATGGAGTGGTCATTCATTGTCTTCAGCTTTATTTTGGCATGTGAGTGCATAGTGTAATTTTGGTCTATATAATGACATTCGACATTTCCACTCCATCTATCTTCTCATCACTCCTCAAATTGTTTTTAAACTTGGCCGATTCCTTCCATTCTTCTTTCTCCTTCCACACTTTCGCGTGAAGTAGGTGGTGTGTTTGGTCTTGCAATTGTATACATTTTATCTTTGCTTGAGACTTGATTTTTCTTACGAATAAAGTACATTCTCTTGATTAGTTTTTTTTAAAATTTTGGTATGTATTTTGCTAAATGATGGATAAAAATTTTATATTTAGTCATTTTTACATGTTGAGTATGTTTTAATTAAAAAATATAGACATATAATTAATTGTCATGTAAAATAAATTGTAGTTTATTTTTTTATAATATGATTAAATATATAACTGTTTTTTTAGTAGATAGTGTTTGAGTAAATATGTAGTCAAATTAAATATGCATCTGGTTAGATAATATTTGGTTGTGAACTTAGTCTAATCTTATATCTGGTAAAAACTAGCACTAAATGGTGCCTAAATTTTCCTGATAGAAAGAGTACTGATGGTGGGATTAATAATAATGAAAGAGAGGAGTTTTGTTTATTTAATTTTTGGGGAAAATTAAAGAGGAGGACTTAGGAAAAACAATATTTATTAAAGATAATCATAAAAATTATAATTATTTAGGGAGACCAAATCATAAAATATAAATTTAAAAAAATTACTCAACAGCAATGGCTAATTATTTTGTCATATTGAGTAGTTATAATTTTTAAATAACTAGTGTGAAATAGTTATTAACATTTATTTTTGTTTTCAATCGTAAGGATTTTTTTTGGATCACTTAAATAGTACCTAATGTAAAATTACATAAGTACATTTATTATAAGCTTATCATTATTCAATGTAAATTTACCTTTATGTGCTAGTCAAATGATAATTATATTTCTTTCAGCCTCTAATTTCTAAAATGTATACAATTACAAGACCGCACACACTACCTACTTCACACGAAAGTGTGGAGGGAGAAAGAAGAATGGAAGGAATCGGTCAAGTTTAAGAACAATTTGAGAAGTGTTGAGAAGGCAGATGGAGTGGGAATGTCGAACGCCACTATATAGGCTAAAATTACACCATGCATTCCCATACCAAAACAAAACTGAAGACAATGAATGACCACTCCCTGAGTCCTATACTGATGGGACTATGTTGGGAAGGAATCCTTACGCGTGAGTTGAGCTTCAAACAATGATATACTACTCCTTGAGTGACTTTGCGTGTGGTAGAAAAAAACAAAAGTATGGTACAGTCAAATGAAAATTGAAAAGGCATGGAAGAAAATATTTTCACGTGGAGCCTAAGACAAACATGGATTGTAGGTCCCACTGAAGTTGTTAAGACCAATAACAACTTTCATTTTGTGATGTGAGCCCCACTGAAGTTGTTCATACCAAGAACAATTTTTATTTTCTAATGTAGATGCCACTGAAATTGTTTAGACCAAGAATGAGTTTTGTTCAAATTTAAAGTCATTCATGGTCTGAAAGATTTCAGGTGTAGTAAATTTTTTTACTGTTCATCACATCTGAGTAAAAAAGCCGCAAAAATAGCCAGATCTTTCTTTCCTTTTTTGTTTAATTTAATAAGGCTTAACTGCTATTAAACAGAGTTGTCCCGCTCCCAGGTTACTGATATGGTCGCAGTAGACATGGTCGCAGTATGCCAGTGAGGATACTTTTTGTCCCTATAATAGCATCTTGCTCTCGTGAAGTTATTTTTCCAACTACTAAAATATTTTCCACGTCCATCCTTGCGTATGGCTTTTCCCTCTTTATCTATAGGACATTTGCTTATAATAGGACTTTAAGGACTCGTTTAAAATATCTTGTAAGTAGTTATTCAATCAAGATTTATAAAATATAAAATAAATATATGTGAAGAGTGTTCTTTCGATTTATATAAACTATGTCTATTAGTACTTATAAGTTATAACTGTGATTAATAGACTTTTTTATAGATTGATTGGGAAAAAAGCTTATTTAAAAACTCTAAGTTCACTTTAAGTTCTATAACTGATTTAGAAAGGGGTGCTTTTTATGTTTGTTGCTTTTACATCTATCTCAAAACTAATCTAAAAAGTAGACTTAGGGGGTGTTTGGATGAGGCAAAACCATGGTTTGCAGAATAGCTTCTGGAGAATAGATTTTGGAGAGAATAGATTTTGAAAGAATAGATTTTC